CTATGAATCGTTACGTTTTTACGGCATACACACACCGCACGCACGCACGCACGCACACTAAACTACATCGAATCACAACGTTGTTTAACAAATCCGTATTTCTGTGTCTCTTTGTATTACAATCGTTTATAAGAGATATATAATTAATAATTTTCATACGTGAACGAGTGCAATTATTCGAAACACAATGAGTAATTTAAATTAAAAAAAAAAAAAAAAATTGTTCTTATAAATGATTCTTAAACGAGAAAGACGGACGCTCTCTGTCAAAAGGGATATCTCAAATCCAATCTTTCTCTTTTATTTTTTATCAACTTAGTAATAATAAGAGGAAGAAGAAGAATTTATCGAGTTTTACGATAAATGGAAGGGCAAGGTTAGCTTAGGCGAAAATAATAATGAGGGGAGGGGGGGTTTAAAGGAAACGTTAAATTCAATTTCCATCCACGTTGTACACTTCGAGCACTGCTGGGCGAAGGGTGGGATGACGATGCTCGATGTGACGGTAAATCTGGTCCACGGTGGTTGTCGCCGCGGTATCACAGTAAGGGCACATCTTCCTCGGCTCGAATCCGCACACTCGTATCATATGCGTGCGAAGATCGGTCAAACGATCGAAATTCGCGCAACACTTTGGACAGAAATTCACGGATCCCCTCGGTAAGGAGGGCGAACGAACGTTTACTCGAAGATTCGCCACCTGTCCTGCGTTGATCCTTGCCCGTCGGAACCTCAAACCTTCCGCCCCCAAGTTAAACAACGCGCTTCGACGCCTACCTGAAATCGAATGTATTAGCCAATTAGAAGTTTTCTCCATCTATCCGAACTCTCGCTTCTTTCTTTTTTATTTTGTACATCGATTCTCGGGTCAACACGATCGATCAACAATGCGTGTGTCCTCTCTCATTTATTCAGCAAGGAAGGTTGAGAAGATTGGAAAATGTTAATAATTTTTGTACAATAAACGTTTTTTGGAATAATTATATAAGATAAGGAAGGATATTTAATACATAATATGCTTGCAAAAAATCTTTGCGACGCCAATCTTGATTCCCTCGATTCCTGTTGTTTCTGCTTTCCGCTCGATTGCTACGGAATTTTTCATAAAGTAAGTATTATTAGAATATACGGTATATATATGGGTAATATAATCCAAACATTAGTGGGTTGGTATATTTTTAGAAATATACAGAAACAGATAATCTAATCTATGTAAAGAATATATCGTCACAAATATTAAAAATCAGATATAAACCCAAAATTTATTTTCAAATTGTTGAAACAATTTTTAAAAATTAGAAACTGATATTCGCAAAGCCTCCTTCAACCCCTGATATTAAAATCAAGCGGAACAAGGATGCGAGAGATAATTAATTAAAATAATTACCGTTATCCACGCAACAATTTCGATTTAAATTGTACTTTTTGTGTATTTATTGTGTTTCTGTAATACTCTTCGTTAACTCTACGCGTACAATAAGGTTAGAATAATCAAAAAGAACGAACAAAACGAAGAAACGCGTTTTAAATAAATCTTGTTCGCTTTTCTTCTCACCCTCACCTCGATACTTTTTCTTTCTCTTTTTTATCTCTTTCGTTACTTCTCTTCTCTCTATCCTTCGCAAATAAACGCTCTGAAAACATCCGTCATATAACGCACCATCAATCACGCATGCTTCCTCGATGATCATATTCTTGCGACAATTTTTGCAAAATGCAGAAACAAATCGTAGATCATAGACCGTCGTTTCTCATGCGTTATCTTGACCAATAAAACTTAATTTTCCAATAGTAATCGATGAATAAAGAAATAAGAAATAATACAGTTTAAATTAAATTAAGTTAGTTTTGAACGCATCTTTCATTCTCTATTCACCGGATACTATTAAAAAATCCTTCTCCCCCCTAAAAAAAAAAAAAGTTTAAAAATAGTCCTCCCTCCCAAAAAACAAAGTTTCGTCGAATATGGAACATTCTCTAAGAACCAATATCCTCTCCAATATTCGAATAAATTTCGCGAAAATAATAACAGAACAATAACACAGAGAATCGTTTCGCAATTGTTCTTTTACTTCTTTTATTTCTTGATTTGTCCATAATTTATTATTTATCGTATCGACGAGCACGAGTTGTCAAGGATTAGGAGAACAGGAACTTGTAGCCCACAACGTTTTCACGTTTTTTTGCAACGCGATCGTTCGACCTTCAGTTTAGGTCGATCACGTAAACATTCTGGCCACGATGGCACTGGCGAATGTGTCTGTAAACATGGCCGCGTTGCTTCATCCGCGCGGCACAATATGGACACTGAACCCTCGGCTCTTGCCCGCACTCGAACTTGGTGTGCCTTTTTAAATGCCAGGCGTGTATGTAGCTCTTGGAGCATCTAGAGCACGTGTGCCTCTCGATGTCTCGAAGAGTGGCCGCCCTACGCCTCCTCGAGCCTCCAAGAGGAGGCCTCTCTTCCTCGTAATCGTAATCCTTCGCTTCTTCCATCACCACGGAGCAAAGATTCTCCAGATCGGTTTCAATCTTGATCCTTTTCATCTCTAAAAAAAGAAAAGTAAAAAGGAAACGGAATTAGTCGCAATCTCGGGGACGTGTACGCGCGACCGGTCAAATAACGAAGAAGGGGAACGAAGAGGGGAACGAAAAAAAAAAAAAAAAAAAAAAAAAAAAAAAGAAACCACGGGAGGTTTTTTCCACCGACAGGAATTTAATTTAAACCAGATTTTTTTTCCTTTTTTTTTTTTTTTTCTTTTCTTTTCTTTTCTTTTCT